CCGAGTATACTTTAAAGGATATTGACTATAGTTTGAAATTTTTTTCACTATGAATACCACGGAGTATACTTTATGAGTATGTACAGTGAGTTATTATTCTTTCCCTGTAGTTGCGAAACCAAAAATCAGGAAGAATTTCCCACGTCTACCCGGAGCATGGCGTCCAGTACCAGCAGGTTTGTCTGAAAAATCTGGGGTATTCCCCGGCAATGATTTACAATCTGAGAATCAGTGAAAGTAATGACACTAATGCCCATAACATCTTCCTCAAGTACCGAAGCAAAGTGTGCATAATAAAATAGTACCTTGTCAAAAACAACTTACAAGCGTTTATAAATACAATAAAGGTGAGGGCGGTTGTCCTTTTTCCTCGGGGCGAGCCCTCTCTCTCGCTCTCCCGGCATTTAGGGTCAAGCCCGGGTCAGTGGTGCTGAGTAAGCGTCAGACTACCTGCTGATACAAGTAAATGTACCACCAGTAGTTGGAAATAACCAACCAACCAAGCAAGCAGGTCTTGTCGACATATTCATCAATACTCACAGCGGCCCGTGCAGTTATTTGCCTTGAGATCAATGGACAATGTAGCACAACTTTGGTTCTTCAGTCGTTTGTTTATATTACATCCCTTCCAAAGCTCAAGGATTTTATTTTTATAATCTTAAGACTCTTGGTTTAGTCTCGGCTTAAGTATATGGCTGTCAAATATTTTCTTGCTGATGGTTTTTCCCAGCTAAATACAATACTCAAACACAATAAATACAACTACAGCAGTTTTCCTAAGTACTAAATTCCCATTACATATAGTAATACCCGGGTACAACTTACAACTTTAAGTACATTATTTTATTGTATATCTGAGCATCAAAACTTTTAATGCGTTGTCCAAAAGTTTATAATCAAGCGATTTCCCTGAAAATAGTCGAAAATTTAAACCGAATAAAAATCACAGTTATAAGTAACTTTTAAATAAAGTTAACTAAAAGTGAACACCCAAAATTCTGACAATTCTGATGCCGACATGTGTCTGTGTCTTTAAAATAACGCCTTTATTTTTCGCCGCTGATTGCGTATTCCTCGGGAGGATTTTAAACGTCTCAGAAGCTGGTTCTGGATTTTATTAGTTTTAAACACGCGTTAAATAAAGCGAGACTAAGCCGAAATGTCGAGTGTAAGATCAGCTAGCACTTTAAACCTTAATCGTTCCCGCGAGTCTGGTGCTCCTCATTTTACGTTTCCTACATCCCCTCGCCTTTCACTTTCACTTTATTTCATCCCCCGTTCAGTATATGTATAAGTATAGACTATAAGAAGCTTCACTACAAAATACTAAACTGCTGCTATACTGCCGTGCTTCAGTTCAAGTCACTAACTTAAGTCCTCTGAGTGATCCACTTTCCTGTTTACCTTATCAAAATTACACTTTAATGTTTACTTGTCGAGATTTAACAAAATTACACGGATTATTTTGATAGTAAATTTTATTATTTCACGGGTTTTAATTTATTTTATTAATTTGTTAGCTAATATATCATTTTATTAATATTATTTTTTTATTTAATGAATTTAATACTAGAAATATATGAAGAAAGTCCATGTATAAATATATATATATATATATGTAACACCCCAAAGTCTCATGAGATTAAGAATAAGAAAATAATGACTCTGGAGCTTACGTTTAATTAGATACTTTAGTAATTTTTTTTCTTCCTCGGGTATTTTTTAGTCTACAGGCCCCCGGAGAGTGCGAGAAAATCATGAGGCGCGACCGAGTCATTTTTGTTCTTTCTCCGACATCAATTTCCTCTTACGGAACTTCAATAAAAGTTATAAAATAAATGCTTTCTTTAATTTAATTGCTCAAGAATTTTTCTTCCTCGACTTTAGAGAATTTTCGAGTTTTAGAATTAAAAAGCTCCTCGTCTTTTTAAGGCGATTAAGCCCGAAGTAATAAGAAAAGAGATTATTGGCCGAATAAAGGACTTTTGATTACACACTAAAAAAAAGTATTGAAAAGCATACGGCACGTTCAGTCAACTCCCCAAACCTCTTAGCCACACTCATTCTCTGGTGTTTTTGTAACTGCTTATCACACTAAAAAAAACCAGCACCCCTCGGCTCCGATCAGGGCCAGCACCCCGTGGAATTGCGCAACGGCTGCGCTGGCTCACGTACCGTGCCGTCGAATGAGTGCCCATAAACGTAAACCGTGTTTCTTTTAAGTGGGGCGCCTTTAAAAAATATAAAAAAATCCGGTCCGTATATGATGATCGTGAGGGCGAGAAAATAAGCGTAGGCTATTTCTCTTTCTCATTCTCGTAATAAAAAGACTCCCAGCGGTGGGTGTTGTGTGTTGTCAGTGTGGGCTAGAAATAAGGGAGAAAAAATAGTGTAAGCGAAATCCGAGGGAGCAAATAAAGGAAGAGAACGAACCAGAGAGACTCAGATAGACATATACAGAGAGTCTCTCGGCTCTACTCTGGGTTCTGGGTTCTAGGCTCTGAGTATAAGGCATAGGTATAGGTATAGGTAGTATGTAATCTTGAACCCCCAAGAGAAGGCTTACTGCAATAACCCCGCGGCTCAAACTCAAAAACCCAACGCTCCACTTTACTCTCTACTCTATCCACTTACTTTATACATATAGATGTATTAACTGTCTCTTTCTCTCTTTTTCACGCTGTTACCCTTGAATATCGCGGAGCTTGCCTTTCTGTAGTTCTTTTACAGTACCACAAACTCACAACACACCCCCGAGCCTCTTGGTGCTCGACAATAAATCTTCAAGCACCTTTAAAATAAAAAGCGCAACCACGAAACTAACGTCGTCGGACCATTTAATCCGATGACTTCCCCAGTACAGCTTTTAAAGTAGTCCTTTTCATTCAAAAAGATAATTTAATTATTTCATCTACAATACGAAATTTTTTTTGTTAAAGTAAAATTTTCTAGAGTTAAAATAAATAGCTTTATAATCTTTTATTAAAACTGTTAGAATTAATAATTATTAAATAAAAGTTTTTTAAAGTTTTTTCTGTGATATTTATTGAGAATAATATAATAGTGTGGAAAAAATGTACTCCTAAGTAAATTTTGAGATTATTTAAACATAAAGATAAATTTTAAAATTTACGCTGTGTTTCTAGGAGATTTCATCCTAAACATACTCAATACCACGTGGGCTCAAGAGATTTTTGTTAATCCGGTGGATTTTATTAATCTTAAAAGTCTCGTGACTCGTAATTGGCAATTTTTTTTAAAGGAAGAATATATAGAGAGTAACAGAGTTAATAGCTATTTATTTATGTTTTTTATATTGGATTTTAGACAGACCGGGAGTAAAAAAATGTCGAAAGCTTAAAATAAATTTATTTAGACTTTTTATTTGACATCAGAGCCCTGACAATCAAATGATCGCGTATAAATCGTCTTAAGAACTCGGTGCAGCCTTGCAGCAGCTGATACTGGGAGTGTAGTGGGACTGGGTGGGTTGAGGGTGAGGAGAAGAAAGAAGAGACGAAAAGAAGAATGTTACAGAAACATACACCCTTATATACATGCCGCGGGGCCATATACTCGCGTTAGAGTACCAACTACACATTTATCCTCAACAGTCGTTTCTCTCAAGCTCGAAATTAGTAGTACACAATATCGGTGTAAGAGTAAGAGCAAGTGAGGTATAGGTACGTATTATATAGGTACACAGTTAAACGCAAGACGGGAAAAAAGATAAAGAGCGAGAGGAAGAGGGAGAAAGCCAGTGATCGAGGGTCGAAAAAAAATTGGCGGCAATAAAAATAAATTACATGCATCGTAACGCTCGGCAGTAAGAGGAGTCGGAGAGGAATAAGGAGCGACAGAGGGTGGCGACGAGGGGGCTGGAGGCTCGCAGGCATTTATCCTACTTGCATACTTCCAGTCCTGATTAAAATTGGGGTGTAGCGATCGGGTCGCCTCGGGCCGTTCCTTCAGGATTCTCTTTGAAAACGCACTTTTTTTTTTACTCTCACTTCTATGTATGTATATTTTTTTTCGTATCTCATTCTTGCTCCGACGGATCGTGATAATCGTCCAAAGTGTCCACTACGCTTTTTGCACTTTTTCTTCACACTCACAAGCTAAGTCTTCCTCTATATCCTTTACAATTTTCTTCAACAGTCGCCATTCACCAGCGTCAATCCTCGGTTTTGTTTTTTTTCGACAACAAACCCGGCGTTTCAATTATAAGTGGACATGAGTTAGGTCAGCACTTTACCATATATGCTATGACTTAAACAAATTATTTTCATCTCTTTTAATTTCTTTTTTATTTATTACACTACTTGATTTTTTTTATTTTGACATTTGCCAAACAATTGTAAGCATGAAATTTTTTATCTTAAAATCCTATATATTAAAATTGATGGTAGAATGAAGTTAGCTTAGTATCGAAAACATGGACCCTGATTCCTTATTGGTTCAGAATTAGAGCGCAGCGCGCGCGTATGCGCGCAATTTAAATTTTTAGTTTCTTCAAATAATACTTGTCTGTTTATTAATATTCATTTTTTTGTAATTTTGTTTCAATGAAACTTTTAATCTTAATTTAAAACGATCGGTATAATATTTATTTTTTAATTTCAATAGTACTAAATTGAGCATACAAAAATATGTAATTAATTTTTTTATGATGATTTTTTATCATAAAAAAATAAAAAAAACAATGCCATTAAATAGTCATTGAGAAATTCAATTTATTTCAGTTTTTAATTATCTCGAAAATTTTATAGCTTTACAATTATTGTTTTCTTATCAAATTAATTTTAAATGTAAGTTAGTTATTTATAAGTTATCAAGTAACATTATAGCTTTAACATCCGATGTCTAATGTTTCTAACAACTAAAATGAGTAAGTACCCTGATTAAACAATATGATTTAAAGGGGCTAAAATGATTTAAAATGATTAAATTTGAAATAATTTCAAATACTGCTCCTCATGGGAGTTAAATCATTTCTAATCATGTTGTTTATACAGGGTAATTTTTTTTTAACTTAGCCTTGGGTATAAAAAACAAAATTACATTGAATAATTTTTATATTTCACAGATTTGCTTATAAATACATTGATATTCTCTGTCATTTCATCAGTCAACTCTCACTTGGTAAATAATTTCTACTAATTAATTATTTAATATTATAAACAATTTCTACTAATTAATTATTTAATATTATAAATATAATTTAAATTTACAGATCCAACGTGAACAAAAATTAATTTCAAGTGAACGTAGTGACAAGGGCGTAATTATTGGACCAAACACTCCTGTACTTTATTTAACATATCCGAGGCCTGATTTCTTTAAAGTCAACCGAGTATATAACGTTAGTCCTGAAAAAATATCATAGTACTTATTTAATAGAAAAAAAAAATAATAATATATAAATAAATAAATATTTGCAGATTTTCGAGGCATCGCCTGCTTACAATTATTACCATGACCCCAGAAAGTCTGAAGGTGTATTTTTTGTGCGAATTTTGGTTATTGTCGATCCTTTTCTAAACAAAATTTGGAACCTAGAGGATTTCATAAAAAATAATTTGGAAAGATGGAATAAAGTAGACGAATATTTCGCAAAATTAGACAATCTTAAATTAAAAGTGATTATTGCCGGAGTCATCGTACCGGAATATGTGAACGACGTATGTATACAATGTTATAATTATTTTTTTATTAATCAATTTTAAATGATAATCATTTATTAAAGAAGTCAAACTTTTGGTATTCCTTGATAAAACAAACTTCGCATAAAAGTTCGTTGGACAAAACAAAGTATTATAGTGCCTCATCAACTTTATTGGATATTGGAAAATGGCTCTTTAACAACACAGAATATCTCGACGAAATATCTTATGATACTTTTGTATTTATGTCTTTGTAAGTATTTATAAATACACATGCCTCAAGATTAAAGTTTAAAAAATTATAAAAAACCATGCAGTAAATTAAATATTTAAAATTGTTACACAATCAAATTTTCAAGAGGTTAAACAATTATGAGTAATAATTTTTCTTTATTTTCAAGTCTCAGTTTGAAGGACAGTAAAGTTTCTGGCGAATTGGGAGTTCATCACTACTTCAACAGTGATGTTATTTGTGAGAAAGACGAACTTCTCAATTTTCTTCAAACACGAAGAGGAGGACTTGTGTACCTTAACTACGAATTTAGTTTCAACGTAGTTCGAATGCTTACTTTTGAGTACGAAATATTACATTCTTATTTCCAGATGTACCTATCAATAAATTTAAAACTTATGTTTTATTCTAGGCTAGGTGGTGAAGTCGATGCCTCAGAATGCGGGTTTGGTCATATTATGAGCATCGGGTTAAAGGGAACGTCTGAAACCTGGTCAGAGTGTTCTAAATATGTTTTTAAAAAAATGAACAGGTAAGTTTATTAATTTTAATTTTTACTCAGAGTATAATAAAAAAAAAATTTTTATTTTATATTTTTATTTCAGCGGCAACAAATTTAACTGCCTAAAAATGTAACATTGTACAAAGAAGTCGGAAAAGATAAATTTTTTATTAAAAAAAGAAAAATTTTAAATAATTATGTACAGAAATTAATTTAATATCACTATATATTAACTTAAAAGCTTTAGTTAAACATCTTTATTATGTGATAAAATTAGTATTTTTGATTGGATAAAAGAGAGACAAGATCTCCAAAAATTTAATAATATTTATGCAAATAATATTTTTGATCTTCAAAATGATCTATATAAAATTGTCTTGAATTGAGCATAAAAATTTTTGAACTAAGTGAAATTTATTAAAGACTAAAAAAAATATTTCGTTCAAGAATTTATTCGTTTAATTTAAAACAATAAATTTTTTAAAAATGATCTTGGCGTAAAATTTTTTCATTTGAACCAATTCTATATTTTTGTCAGTGTACTTACCAAAAATAAAAAACATTTAACAAAACCAAAAATTGTAACAGATTATTTTATAAATTTGTCTCACTGCATGAAATATCTCAGTGAGACAATAATATAATATCACACACGTAGCTTGTATATATATATAAATTGGTTTTTGCATTTATTTAAGATGCAAGGACATCTAGTCGCGTTGTGGCGGTTTTGTCGTCGTCGCGGCGGCAAAACAGTTTGAGAGCAAAGTGCCAAGATATGTCCTCGTACGTGTAACAAGCTATCTACTCGAGTACAAGTATCCTCCCGCTATAGTATAATCCGCGATACAAGAGTACAACCAACATATTGTATCTATAGAACACTAAATAAATTTATATAAAAGCCCGAGCAGAGCCAGGCAAATAAGGGAACAAACAATAAAATAATTAAATCTATTACATGTACCGGATATTTATCTGATAAATAAATGATTAATTGAAAACAATTGAAAATGACACTGGACATAGTTTAACTAAATGTTAATGTTTGTTGGTTACTCATTAATTACTCGTACAATAAATCCTCCAGATAATTATCCCGGGATCCAAATTATTGACGATACCAAACATTTAACGATACAATCGTGTTAATTGCTATTATCTACAGCAGTATTGTCTGAACAAATGATTGTTTATGCGCGAGGCACTAATTCACTGTCGAATTTTCGGCTCATGATCGATATCATGTGTCACTTATTTAATGTATACTTATTAATTTAAATTTATAAATAATTATAATTAAAATATGTATACAGCATCAGTTTTCAACACCTGTAATGACAATAATTTATTTATTTATTGTAATTTCATTCGAGTTCTGTATTTATTTATTTAATAATTATGATCCCAATTAAACTGTTTTAAATTTGAATTTTATTTTAATATTTTTTTACCATGAAAAATAACGACATAAGATCTTGAGAGCTGACTGGCTTTTTAGATGTTATTATACGAAGTGAGGGCAATTTTACAGGGAAGAGTGTAATAATTTATCGAATGCAATTGCGTCCGGAAAATCAAATGCTCCGTAGAGAATCGATGATGTCGATTTCTGACGGTATAAGTTGAATAAATGCAGAGAAGCTCTTGTAAATTTTATTATTATTTACAATATTACGTGGGCGAAAAATCGATAAACTCAGATTAAGAAAATATTTACGCTGGTAAACCGAACGATAAACAAATATTTGCATTATTCTTATTATTGATATTGAATTTAAATTAAACTGTAAAATTTTTCATATTATTTTACAAAAATTTATTTTTACAAAATACTTTATTTTTGTATTAGAAATTTAACGTATTAGGAAATATTTATCCAATTAACAAACGATTGAGAAAAAGTAAAAATACGAGAATATATAATTTATTTAAATTAAAAAAAAAATAGAGTCGCTTATATGTTTTTCCGCCGAGTCATGAATAAATAAATGAAAAAAATTCCGGGACATAAATATCGAATATTGTCATTAAACATCAGCGTAATCTTATAAATCGTGTAACAGTAGTGTAACTGAATCCATCAAAAAAAAAATAACGCGCAGTCGGGGTTCTGAATTTTATTAACGCATTCTCGCATGCATAAACCTACGAAGCAGCCTTATGCTTGCTTCTACTTGGTGAAGAAGCACCAACGGATTCAGCTTATCGTATTCAGTAGCCTGTCGAAAAGCCACCAGTAAACGCGATATTAATGGCGCATCCAAGTACATAAACATACACTTTACGCAAGAATATTATCGTTCAATAAATCCGTGCGCGTACCGAAGTCTTAGCCTCGCGAGTTTACCTATCAAGTTCTATATCTTTTCATGACGACGTCTATCGTGGATCACTGTACTCTATACTCTCGAATATCTTGTAACACTCTTACTAAATTACTAATAATAATACCGAATGTCCTTTTCTCCGACCTCAAGTAAATTCTTAAAATAAATTTTACTCTTTTTTAAGACAGATTTTCATCTGAAAAATTTTTTTATTAATAATTTTTATCGTTAAAAATTTTTGCTTATTTTTTTTTATTATTATTATTACATACTCAGTATCAGTTTGAGTGAAACTAGAAATTTTCCCCTTGAAACAAAAAGATAATTCTCCGATTGAAGTCATAAGAAACTGTCATCAATTTTTTTGCATCATTATAAGCTACAAACATTTAACATTTTTTATACATACGTCAATCTTTTTTCCAATTATATTTTTTATCTGAATACTATGTAAGTTGTTATTGCAACATTAACTTGTCATTTATATTTAAATATGGATGAGAAAAATAAACATCAACCTGATGACGACTATCATCTAACGGTACTTTAATATAATACACGATTATTACACGCATACATGCATACGTGAATGATGATCCGGGATTTATACAATCGTTAAATTAAATGCAATAAAGTATAAAGAATTAATTTAAAGTTGATGAAGCCGTGTCTCGCAGTTAATCAAGATATCATCCCTCTATGACCAGTATCAGGGACAACGTTTATTGACATAGATCATAATTTAATTATGATTATAATTTTAATATTATAAATGCATAGTGTAATATCGGTATTATTATTAGCACTGCGAATTAAAGTCTAGCAAGTACAGGTGAGAGCTAAAGAGCGTAAGCAGTCGTAAAGGTCACGACATTCAACTACAGATGAAAAAAAACTAGTCAATGAAGCAACAGCGGCATTAACGCTTTCGTCTCACGTGTCTAGTCCTTTTGTGGGGCGCGCATTACCATGAGCTGGGAGCAGAGCGCGTGCTCGGGATGCGCACCTTCCTCGACGGCATTCGGGGGGCTCCTGATTAGCATCGCACCCCAAGCTGAAGCCGTGAGCCGTGCGAAGGCCAATGGCACCCTGGCTGGCCTTACACAAGCCAACGTAGAAAGTAGACTCCGTATCCGGGGGTTGGAACGTGTACGGAAACGTTGTTGTAGTTCGCTCTATCTCGAGCGAGCAATGAAGGCTATAGTCTGGTAGTGGAGCGTCGGTGGTGGTTTTGTAGTGGTAGTTGAACAGTGCGCGACATAAATATGTATGTATCATCCGCTGGTGCTACGACCTGCCCCACTGGCCCACTGGGTCAGACTCATGCTTCATCACAATGAGCATACCTTAGCCTCATTTTGTCCTACATTTATAGAAGTTGTTATCATTGTTTTCTCCCGGGACGATTCTATTTTTTTACTTCGATTTTAAGATCTATTTTATTTTGATACTCATAGAAAAATTTAATTGATTCAAGAGACAAAATCTTGATCGAAGAACAAAATTTTAAAGATTTTATTGACTTGATAAGTCAAGAAAAAAATTCTTAAATCAAGTGAAAATTAAGATCAACTTTTGAATTGAAGGATTTTTTTAATGAATTCTATAATATTGTTATGTAAAGAAATTTTTCTTTACATATTTATTAACTATAAAAATCGAGTATAATTTTATTTCGTTTTTAACGATTGTTAAAGCTAATTTGAGTGCGGTCATTAAGTGTCTCGTTCGATCTTTGCAAAAGGCCCAGGGAAATTCCTGTAATTAGTCTGGAGCCCAGGTATATTAAAGAGATTAAATAGATGAATGGGAGTTTTGTTATTCGTAAGCAAACTCACTTATACTTAAAATAAGAAATACTTAAAGATAAAGAACATTAGATAAAAAGATTTATTTTAAACCAAAAGATTTTAGAATAACTTAATGACAGAATTTTAGTGTTGAGAAAAATATCGAAATAAATTTTAATATTGCAATTTCCGAAATAATTTTTAGACAACAAAAATTAAATATGAAATGAGAAACAAATAAAAAAAATAGAACTTGAAAGTTAAATAATT